AAAGTTAAACAGAGAAGCCTGAAATAAAATCATAGTTTGGGCACTTTCTGTGTAAAAAAATGTTTTATTATTTGAAACCCTAGAAAAGTACCGTGAATTTACCTGACAGCTATCAGTATTACAAACCACATGAATCCAGAGGCTTTCTAAAGGCTTGTTTTCTGCCAATAGCTCTAGAGTCACAGAGGCCATCATCACATCATCATCATTACAGTTTAGTTCACAATAGATGTCAAAGTATTGCAAGGAAATGCAATAATTACAATAATAATGAGAGAATTTATCATCATCATCAGTATTTTGTAAATGAAAAGCTAAGGATCCCATAGATGATAGGGGCTCAGTTTGAAGACCATCTAGAATTTTGCATTCTGAAAATTGTTTTATGCTCCTCTTAAGATAATGGAACTGTTTTCAAAGGCAGTTTTACTGCTACTATTTACTATTTATTTTGCCAAGACAACCACTCGACTGCATTATTTGGTGCAACAGCCTGGCAGAAAAAGGCAACTGTGAGCTAGTTTAGAGTGTGAAATAAACTTGTATCTGCAAGTCCATTGATCTCTAGTGAAAAAGTGATGTGCAAATCTCTGAAAATCAAACACAGCATTCTTAAGTTGCACATTCAAAGACAAGCAATCATTTTAAAGCTGCAAGTGTACAGGCTGAGCTTAAAATATGAAACAAGTTGAAGACTTAGGGACAGAATTTGCTTGTCTGAGGCTATTACTCTGTCTGATGCACAGTATTAAGATAAATGAACATGCTGGAAAACATCTCAGTAAAGCATTCAGTCCAGCTTAGTTTATCTCAGTTAAATGCCAGCTTTGCATTCTTCAATAAATGTCATTAGGAGAGTTTCTACAGTTTCTGTAAACTTTTTTGATATATTTTCATTGCTGTAAACCTCTTTTTTCACACGATTCCAATTAAGGTAAAAAAAAAGCCTACAATCTTGGGGGAGGGTGGGGAGAAGGGAATTGGCAAACTGGGTAAATGGCCTTAATGAAAGGCTTATTTTTACTTTGTTTGGCACTTTATATTTTGCAACTTAAATTGTGACACAGTTTCAATTTTTTTCCTCACTCAAGTAATTTGCAATACTGTTTCCTGAATTTGCAATTTCAATTTGTTCATTCTGCTCCCTAAACTTATCTTTTCTCTTCATAGTGAAGGCTTACAAAATCACTCAAACATGCCTCGTTATGTCCCAGATAAGGTCAGTGAGAATTCATGCAGGATGGTCTGTTCCTTACCTGGTTTGGCATAAAGAAGTTAGAAATGGTTGAAGGGAAAATGATAAATATCCTCTGTGTTTAATTTTTCAAGTTTTTGACCTCAAACATTCCTCCTGATTTTATTTCTCTCTGCACCCTCTGCAAAATGTGTTCTTGCGGTGTTCTGGGTTCTGCTGCTGTCTGAAATGGCATAATTTGGGTTAAACTATTCCTAGGATACGTACAGCACAAAGCACACTTTGCAGCTAGCTCCAAATCTCAATGAAGACCACACAAAAAACAGAGAGAGTGAGAAGAAGCATGAGGTTCTAAATATTTTACAACAGCAGCAGTTGCTTATTTTCCTCTAATTTGAGAATGAAATAGCAGCTTGGAGCTGCTCTTTTTCAAGGACAGAGAGGAAAATTTTTATAAGTTACTAAATCAGACAAGCAAAGCTCACCAGGAATATGGCACATGCTCAGATGTGTCTTCCTCACATGTGCTCTATCCATCAAAGGAAGAGGAGGCCTCACCTGCCAAGCAAATGTTTTATATTGAACTGGAGGGTTCCAAATGTCTCACGAAGGTGTCAGATAAACAGAAGGAGACAGGAGAAGGTGACAGGATGCTCTCACACAAGTGTTGCTTTTGTTTCAAAGATGAGTGACAGACAAAGAATTTTCTCCTGTTTATAATGTAAGACAAAAACATCTAAGACTATCAAAATCAGATGCCTATGCAAAGAACCTGTTGTGCAAGATTCCTAAGATATTAAAGTATCAAAATTAATTTTGGATGTGAAGAGAAATCCTATGAAAACAGCATATATTATGCTTCCAAGAATGACATTTAATAGCAAAACCAATCCTACAGTAAGAATACTTCAATCATTTGACTAAACATTAAACTCTACTGATCAATGTCATTGCTCACTTATCGACTTCTTTTCCTCCAGAAATAGTTGTAGCAGGTCATTATTGACTGGCCATGGTCGCTTTCAGTGGATTTAACCAATGTAATAGGTACACATTTAGTTTCACACAAAATTATACTGTAAACAGATCTCCCTAGAAGAAGCACAGGACAACAGAAATAAAAAAAAACAAGGGATAGCCTGTGATATGCATCGGTTTTAAGATACATTTGAATGCTTGAAGCTGCTGCCCGGCAATGCCCAGGGCTGTGTCAGTGGGAAGGCTCCATTGCAGTGATCTGCTTGGGATGCTGACAGACTCAGAAATGACAGGAATCAAAAAGTTGCTTATTGTATCGCTGAATAAATGTACTTGTTTCTTAAGAAGGACAGAACCATTTTGCTGGTTCTCTAGCACTTCCCTGCTATTTCCAATCTACTCACTTCAGCAAAGTAAATGTAAAGTTAAGCCTATGTAAGGCAGAAACAAAACATTACTGCAAATGTTCTTGCTCTGTAAATCAGCAAATCCCCCCCTCTCCTAAAAGCAAGATTTCACAGTCAATTTAAGCTGATCTGAGACTGCGCTGCTCCTGAACAGAGCAATCCAACTTCCTTTTATCTCCAGCTGCATGTTCCCACCACTTCCCTTGTGCAGGCTCTAGAGATCATACTGCTGAAAGATAAACAAGATCAGCTCCCTCATCCTACTGAAAACTAACACTGAAAATACATAGTTTTTAACCATTTTCTGAAGAGCTGAAAGCAACCCTTTCAGTAGCAATTTGCAGTTAACCCTCACATAAACTGATTTTGAAACATCAGCATTACAGAGAAAGAGAACTGAAAAATAAATCACCAAACTGGAGAAGTATTAGTATTTGAGCAAGAAGTGAGATAGCACAGAAAAACAGGCAGTCTCTTATCAGTAATTACGGCACTTTAAAAGGACAGTTTTTATTCCAGTTTAAAAAAACACTCTAGTGTGCACAGACCCTGATGCACAAGAACTGAACTACTAAAATGAAACAAACCATGGCAAAAATCTCAGCTTACATGAGAAAAATAATCCAAAGAAACAGGCATCACTAAAATGTTATTTTCCTTTTATTTCTCTTTATTATTTTCCTTACTTGATCCTTCTTAAAACAAATTATATATTTTTTTACTCTTGCAGCAGAGTCTTTAATTTCTGATTTTTTTGATCAGATATTTTTTGCTAATCCTGCTTGTAAAGTAATTAGATATAATCTTCTTCCCCCTTTTCTATTCTCTCCTGCTTGTTACATTTTATCTGTGTGGTATAGTGATAGTAAGCATACAGTTCCTTTCTGATGTTTATTTTTTGTGGTTCTGTTTTTATCTATCTAATAGGTGTTGTAACAAGAGAAAGTGTACCTTTTGTGGCAGATAAAAATGCAACAAAAGAATAATGTAGAGAAAAAATAGGTTGCTTTAATTAACTTAACCACTGTCAAAGGTTTAATGTTTGCATTAGAGAACTCACAGGTAATTATCATCACTCTGGAAAAATATATATGAATTAATCATTTCAAAATACTTGGTTGAGTCCTGAACTTCCAAAAACCATCAAGCTCAGAAACGGAATGTATGCCAACAATACTTTGTTGACCCTTTTTTAGTTCTTGCATTTTATAAACAGACAGGTTATTGATCTAAATGTAGAACTTGTGCAGACACTAGCCCATCTAAATGAGGTGTATATGCAGGTGAAATCCACAGTAAAGAGTTAAGAGTTTCCAAGTGTCCACATCTAGTCAAGAGTAAGTTAATGTCATTTGTGAAGTCTGCTAAAACAAGATTTTATTGCAGTCATTTTCATAAGACGGCCATACAAGTAAATGTCTTTAACTTGTGAAAAACAACCAAATAGTAACATATGATTAATACAGTCCTAAACTTGATTTGAATTGACCAGCTAGGAACCTTACATAATCTTCCTATTACTGATCTCTGTAACATTTGCAATTTCTTAATGCACTGTCCTTTTGTAAAGTCATGATGAATTAAATTATTAACAATCTGACTGAACATACAAATTTACCTCTGCACACTGATTTGTGTAATTTTTAATCTATTCACACTTTAAACAATCACCCAACATATGTAGATTATAGAGATTCTATGCACAGAGCAGCAGATGCGAGTGGTTCATCATCAGTAGGAGTTGTATGTTTAAACCTTATTTAAACACATAGGTTTTGCACATTACCCTCTCAAATTCAACAGCTAGAGTGAAGAGGACTTTCTTAAGAATAGGCAAGAGTCATCTGTATGCAAACAGACTAAATAATTAAAAATGGGATAAGCCTTTCTTTAGGCTGATTATGGCTAGATTGGGGCCCTCAGAGGTTACTCAGTGACTCAATAAACTCACTAAATGTGGCAAGATTTGAAAACACTAGTGGTTTCTATTCTGACCCCTTCTACTCTTTATCTTTTTGCCTGTTTTTTTTTTTTTTTTTTTTTTTTGGTTTTGTTTGGTTTTTTTTTATCACGTAGCTTCTTAGGGAAGGAAATATTGCCTTATGTTCGGAAATTGCCCATAGCATTGCAGGCACTACCCAAACAAAGAAAAACAATAAAAGTAACAAAAAGAGGAGGAGGAGGTTTGCTTGACCCCATGCAGAAGTCCCCTAAAGACTCTTATCGAACTCAATAGGATAGTAACCTGGCTTATTGCTTAACTAAAATATCCCATATATAATTGTCCTAATATAACCACACTCTCAAAATGAACGCTTTGCGATGCAATCAAGGGACAACTGAAAATATGTTGGAAAGTTTTGAATTATTTTGTAAACATAGCCACTTAGAAATGTACTATCAATCAAGTACCTTTTTGTTTTCTGCTGGGATGGAGTTAAGAGATCTAGAGTTTCACCTCAGTTCTGCTCCTGACTTCATGATCTTCAGTATGATACTGTTAGGTATCTCTCTGAGCCTTCATCTCATGATCTGTAAAACAGAGATAATGGTTTTCATCTCAGAACATTTTGAAATATATCTGTAAAATGTCACACAAGTTCAGTGCCAGTAATACATATTTTGTTCACTGAGTAAGGTCTCAAAGCAAAACCTTTCCCTTTGATTGTTTGCTGCAACATTCCCTCTTCCAGTCCTTAGCAATACATTTTAAGTAGCATATGATAAAATTAAGATCAGCGTAATAAAATAAACCCTGTGAAGACCTCATTTTCCCTAGATTTATTATGAATCTTATCTACTGTGATAACCTTACTTCTTAACCTTTACAATTTTACAAAATGCTTGTACCAGATTTTATTATTTTCTAATATTTCATGCTATGCAGTCCCATTTGTTTCCCATCTAAGAAATACATAGCAAGCATGACATTTCGTATTTTAGAAACTTGCCTTCCTGTACCATTAATACCAACATTATGATTCAGACCCATGGTTTCCAAGTCCTCCTTCTAGGCTAATTTATTGTAGTAATAAACCAGCTTCACTGCTTGCTTTTAGTATTTTACATAACAGTGCAAAGATTTTGAAAGCATAATATCAAGACTTCAGATATCCGTAAAATCCTCTTAATATTTCCGTGGTCTGATTTACAAGATTTTACCATCTGCTATGAAAACATCAGCTTGTGACTACTGGTAGGGCATCTCACTAAGGTTTGTTCAATTTTTGTGGATCCTTAGGAGCATTTGGATTATCAGAGAATAAAACATTCTGTTTTGTAGAAATAGAGATCTCATTTCAAAGTATCTCCTCCTTAGTTTAGATGGATCTTACTATAAGTTATATAGAAAGTACACAGCTCTTAGAGAATAAAAGTTATAAAAATAGACATAGAAAGAAGACAAGTATTAAATAAGCAAGAGTTATTAAAAATATTGTAATATATTAGCAAGTAGATGCTTTGATAACTCTGGCTAAGGCTGCATTTGCACTTTTGTTAGTGATGAGGGAGGTCTATCTCAGCTACTGCTACCATTTTCTTGGGGAAAATTATCTTCATAGTTTTAGTCCTTAAGCATGTCTTTGGTTTAAGGCTTGGGAAGAAGATTTGATTCCACATGACTGCTTCTCCCATGAGCCAGTTACCAGATTCATTTCTGTCTCTGCACAGCACCACCAACAAAGTCAACAAATCTGATATACACTGCATGAAAGTTCACTTGTTATATTAATTTTCTTAGTGAAAATGTTAACATTTCAATAATCCCTCAAATAATGTAATACTAATATTAAAAAAATTGAAATGATTCCATGTGGAAAATCCAAGTACCATAGGACTCAAAATCACTGCAAATTTTTGCACTGCAGTTAATGCAAGTTCTGATGATGATATACATTGATTTGATCTTTTGATATATCTTCTTTCACAAAATGTGATCTTATAGGACAAGGCTGGACACAACTCTGAAGCCTTTAGTTGAGAAAATACAGTTGAGTCCAGAGTCATTCAGTGTTGAGAATGCTCGGTGATCATTTTGCCTTAAAAAAGTTATCAGAAGTGGCTTCAAAAGATGATTTGGAAAAGGAAAGAAATCAGTGGAGTTTTATTCCCCAAAAGATACTTTCAATAGAAAGTCGGTTGAGTGAAAAAATCAGGTAATGGCTGCAAAATAATACTTCTAAAAAATTGTGAGTCCATAATGAAATAATATTGCAGGATCCTGAGGAATTTAACTTGTGGAAAGCTCAAATACAGACCTGTGGATAGATCAAGATTCCTCAAGCAGTCCAGTAGCACAGAGAACAGAGTCTAAGCTACAGGGAAAGGAAACATTTGAAAAGCGCTTGCATTTCTGCTTTACCATTCAGTTCTACAATCACTGCTTTGAGTGACAAACACTTCAGAACGCATGCGTTTTATCCAAGACTTCTAAGACTAGAAATAACTGTGTTCAGTGCAGTGCACAGGCCATTTTACTTCTGGGGAATCCTGCTGCTTTCCTTGGTAGCATCCTTGGCTTGATACATGAACAATTTGAAGACTTTACAATTGTGCATCTGTGAACACAGTCCCAATTACTCCTTGGAAAATGTCCTGAGGATATGCCCTGGCAAAGGGACTGCAGGGCTGGTTTTAAAATGAAATTCCTAAAATGCAGCTCATGAGCTGCAAACACATTTCCTAGCTAAATTGCTCTGTTGCACTGTAAAACCCATGTTAGAGCATTTATAAGCAAAATAAGATGCAAATACAAATACAAGTAATGCATTTCTATTAAGATAAAGCTATTCCACAGATACATGTACAAAAGTACATTCTCCTAGAGAAACAGCTGCAGTTCCTTCCCTGGATTTTGTCCCCTAGGCACACTTTGTTTGAACAGTTAATGCATAGAAGACTGCCCCCTTTTCATTGCTTTAATTTTTAGGCTGTTGCAAAGGACTGAATGATATATATTTGCATTAAAAATGTTCTAAAAACAATTGTAAGGTTTTAAAGACAAGCAATCAATGTTTCCAAAATGACAGAATAAGAAAGAAAACTAGAAAATGAAGATTGCTTGTCAAGCTGGATTTGTTTTCAATCCCATTCTCCTAATGTACATTATTCCAATCCATTAAAAAAAATGTATATAAAAACATAAAAACCCAACAACTAACATTTATGAGAACTTTTACAATCTGAAGTTCACCATACAGAAATGCCATTATGTGGAACAAAACTGTTGTCAGCAGTACCTCTACTGTACTCCACAGCTGGCATTTCAGACTGTCCTTTTCTGCAATTAATGGTCACAGTAATAAGATTTCAAAGTTCAAATCTCTTTAAAGGAGAAAAGCTGCTTTTTCATCCCTTTCTCAAAGCTTACAATATGATTGGCAAAGGATCAGGAATAATAAGACAACTGGTGACGTAAACCCCAGGAGGAACAGAACAGCTTTTGTTCCAAACTCTCATCAAAATCTTGGAAAACTTGCAATAGGAAATGTTGCTGGAATGTAGGTTCTCACTTTCGAGTTTGTACATGTTGGGCCTGCTTTATCTGATATCTCTTACCTGCTTTCTCTCACCTGCTTCAACATTTATTAAACCCATCCCATTTTCTGCCTGTAGCTGAAACAGCTATATCATTAAGTATTTGATATTTTCTTGATGCTCTAAACACATTTCGTCATCTGTTAATGCATCACTGTCAAAACTTATGGCTAAAAAGGCTATACGATTTCCACCATCTATACAAGCTTAGTTGGCTGGAGCTTTGAAAAAAATGTCACAGGCCAAAACTCAGAGTTGCAGTACCTTTGGCCCTGAGCCCCCAAGTCTTTGCTGCAAACAGAAAGTTTTGCTAGACATGCAGATACTTGTGCCAAACTCTAAATTTTACAAAAGTTTCAGTTGTGTAAACATCAATGTGACCTCCTGAATTTAATTTCCTCTTTTTCTTTTCTGTTTTTTTTTTGTTTTTTTGTTTTTTAATGAAAGAAAAGAAAGAAAGCTTTGCTTGTGGAGACTGCATTTGCTGTATACTTCACTGCACGAGTATTTTCATCAAATGAATGTTTAAGTGTGATTGTCATCCAATTCAGGTTCTCTGGCCTTAAATCTTTCCAATTAGCCTGGCAAGCCAAAGGAGAGCACCCACTCCATGAAATCTACTTGAACTGCTGTGCTTTTACTGACACTGCATCCACTTACATTTAATGTGATGGAAGGTGTTTGGGGACGTACCTCAGAAGCAAGTCAGGGCACTCTAGGAGACCATGCTTGCTATTAATGGCCACACTGAAGATATTGTAATCAAAATACCAGCTTATTCCAACTGCAAGCAAAGTTAACGGAAGCACTAGTGATCAGTCTAGTTAACTTTGCTATATATATTCATAACTGAACTTTTGCAGGAAGCCAAGCAAATAGACCAATTATATCAACTCAATAGCTCATTTCTTCTGTAGTCTCTGTTAAGGTGAAAATGAAGAGGCTGGAGTTCTAAATATCTCGTATGTCCATTCAGAAATGTGGTGTGGTTCAAAACATTGCCAGGTAAGAGTGGAAGGAAGGCATGACATAGTGAAGAGTCTGAGTTTGATGTGCTCCCACAGAGAAGCAGATTGGTTTTGACACAGATAGAGGACATTTCCTCAAAAACAGAGACATAAAAGCAGCTTTCTGGAAGAGGGAAATGTTATTTTAGTAATGATTTCTCCAACAGGAACATTGATTTCTCTAACTCTAAAGAGAACGTTTTGTTTTAATGTAAATAATTTTTAATATAAATAAAAACTAATTTAAATATAAATTATGCCAATAAATATCTCACGAGTCTTTCTGATTCATTTTTTATCTGTGTTGTATGATAATACTCTTTGTTTTCCATTTTAACTCTGCTTCTCAACTCCATTATGAACTCTTACATTGGAAGTGTAAGATAGGAGCCATTCCTCCCAATTGGTCCTTTGCTGTATTCCAGTTACAGAGTGCTCATAAAATGACCACTGGTCATACACAGTGTGATAGTGCTTCTAATAAAGCAGCTCACCGTTACCAGCAATGCTTATAAATTCCACAACATAGCAGGTTTTCTTATAGGCCTCTGAGAGACAGGAGCACAAAAAGGGCAATGCACAACATAGCAAGAGACACATGGGAACATCACAAACAAAAGTGCACTCTGGTGGGTTAAGTTCTATTAAAAAAACAATAAAAAAATCTGTAAAACAAAGCAGATATATTTACTAGTTACTGGAAGATAGGAAAATGTTTGGTTCTAACATGCATAGTTCCTTCTGCTTTCAGAATGAACTGTGAGTTGGAGGGGATTTTTCAGAATAAGTGACAGAGTGGGAGGAATAGAAGGAGGAACAGGGGGTTATTGTGAAGATGTGATGTTGAGTAGTCAGCAGGTAGGTATTGCTTTGTGAAGAAATCAAGAGGAAAAGGAAGATTACCCCAAAGCTCACTATCATGTCTTTGTTTTCATGCTGTTCAGCCATTCCCTTACCTGACTTCCTGATTTCAGCTTTCTAATTATT